TGATTTAATAATATAATTTTTATAAAAATAATAATTAAGTATTTTGTTAAAACTCAATAATTATCTTAATTATATTTTAGATTTTTGATATTTAAAATAAAATGTTTATCTTCTGTTAATTATGTTTATCTGCAGTTAGTTACACTAATTCAAATATAGAGCTTTAATACGTTGTATTTATGCACGATTTACTTGTAATCTTGAATTTTAAATAATATGTATCAATAAACAATACTTTATGCATAAAAAATGGTTTTTTTAAAGTTTTTGTCAAATGTTTTATAATATAGTATAGATAAATGTAAATAAAAAAAAACTTTTTTGCTATTATATAATATAATGGACTAAAAAAAAAGAGTTAGGGGTTGTTTGGCGGTTGCTGAATGGTTTGGTGCAGAATGGTTAAGTGGTCAGAATGGTTAAGAGGGCCAGAATGGTTAAGTGCTGAATGAAATAATATTGTTTGGTAACTGTTCTCTGAATAACAACAAATTACCATTTTAACCCTATGCCTATTTCACCTATTTGAGGAAGTTGCAGGTTCTTAATCTAGGGTTTAACATATTATTTGGGAAAATCCCCAAATCACTTGCAGAATGTGAGGGTTTAAGCATCTTAAATCTYGCYGRAAACCGAATCCATRGGACGATTCCCGTGTTTATTGGTAGCATCAGGAAGCTAAAAGGGGTTTATTTGTCATTTAATCGGAAACCGAATCCATGGGACGATTCCCGTGTTCTTGACCATGTTGATTTTTCTGGGAATTTTCTCGATGGCAAGATCCCGAAAAGCGTAAGAAATTGCGGGAATTTTCTCGAATGCGTTTATAGGGGATGTTCCTTCTGAGCTTGGAATGCTCGAAAATCTTGCAGTTCTTGATATCTCTAGACACAGGTTTGTTGGCGATATTCCTGTAAGCCTCGTCAATTCAAAATCGCTTGTTAAGTTTGATTTCTCATCCAACAACGTTTCCGAGCAGATAGTGGTGGAATCGGTCGTCAATTTGGAATGCGACGTGAAGGCGACATGAACTCGGTGAAGGAGACGGCTGGAAGGAGAGGAGATGGGGAGAAGGGTAATTCTGGAAAAATAAGTCTCTGAACCATTAGGCAACCCATTAGATGCAAAATGGTTAAGAGGTAATTGTCACCATTAAGAGGTTCCATTTTTTTTGCCAAACAGCCTCTGCCTCTTACCGATTAAGAGACTTCCTCTTAATGTCACCATTAAGAGGCAAACAAACAGTCCCTTATTCATATTTTGGATAACGTACTTTGAAAACTTTTATTTTGGTACCAAATATGTAAAGTCTTCAATATTTAAGTACGCGGTTAACCAGTTGAAGGATCAATCAGTTACCATGCTGATGTGACGAATGATGTGCTATCCGGTTAATGCTTCAACAAATAAAACTGAGTTCGATATCACATCACTCGTCACATCAGTATTATAACCGGTTACCCGGATACTTAAATGTTTAAAACTTTACATCTTAAGTACCAAAATGAAAGTTTTAAAAATACGTTACCCAAAATAAAAATCAAATTAAATTACGTTATTTTTCATACAATTTAACCCAAAAAAAAAAAAAAAATCTAAGCCTTTCTACGTAAAACTGTAGCTTGTAAGGTATAGTATGCTTCAAGCGCCAGTGCGAGAGATAGAAGACGACCTATACGTACAACCTATAGATACAGCACATATACATACAAACAAAGTCAATATTTCGGAAGATTTTTTTCCGTCAATCGAGAAAGATTCCGGCGATTGCTGTCGATTTTTCTCGTGAATATTAGTTTCTGTAAAAAGACGTAGTTCACCTGATCAACACAACTCATGAAGCAGCTTTGCAGATTGTGTTCCCACGCTTATTTCTAGGGTTTCGGTATGATTTCATTTCATTTCATTATAATAATCAATCGATGCAAATGTGTTTAACGAATCTGTTATTCTTCGTTTCCGATCAGTTCCACCTCCGACCGTCCGACGACTGGTTATTCACTGATGACGATGACTCCATTGACGAATAGTTTTGCCAGTATTGAGGTCTTCTGCTGAGTTTCTGCCTTTCTTGCTAAAATGTCAGGTGAGTTGCAGGTTTTGAGTGCAGGATAACATTGATTATTCACATGTGAATAAGCATTGTAGGATGACAGACATTGTTTATATTCACATTTTTTGTATCTATAATTTGATCGTATTAGGCTTAGGAGGATTTGAGGGTTTTGAGAATCTTGAAGAAGATGAGAGAAGAAGATCTAAAATTGGAGTTTTGAGGAAGAAGGCGATAAATGCTTCGAATAAGTTGACTCATTCGCTCACGAAAAGGGGGTTGAGGAAGGTCGATTATCGGGTTCCTTCGATAGAAGATATCCGCGATGCAAGTGAAGAACGAGCGGTTCACGAGCTTCGTCAAAAGCTCATCAATAAGGACTTGCTTCCGGAAAGACATGATGAATATCATACCTTACTGAGGTTAGTGAATACTTGACTTCACCCTTTAAAGTGTTATAATATAGAATCTGAGAACCAACTATTGATAATGAATATCATAAATCAAACCAACTATTCGTAATGTATATCGTTAATCAAATCAACTATTCATAATGAATATCATTAATCAAACCAACTATTCATAATAAATATCATGAATGAAACCAACTATTCATAATGAATAAAATTAGTTAGTTCCCAAGTTCTAAGAATATTTATTGTTCACATTTGAACTTTTCGTAACAAAGATTCAAATGTTCCCATTTGATGACTTGACACGTTGTAGTAAACGGGTATCCACGTAATCAACTGTTACAACATTTGCAGGTTACCAGTCAAAATGGGTACAAAATAGGAAATTTTGAACTCGTAAAACAAACATAATTTGATTTTTTGATGTATGCACAACTTGTCTGTTTATTTTCATTTAGGTTCTTGAAAGCAAGGGATTTCGACATCGAGAAAACAATCCGAATGTGGGCCGAAATGCTAAATTGGCGAAAAGAGTACGGAACCGACACAATATTGGAGGTAACAGCACTTATACATATTCACATAGTTTTCGACATAAATCTAACCGAAACCAAACAAACCCAATATATCCCACCTGACGTTAAGGCCAGTGGAGCATAAGATGTAAGCAGATCTGACCTCTGCCTGTAGAACGGTTGTTTTTAATGTATTCGGTGTAATTTGTATTTGGACACTCAGGATTATGAATTTGAAGAACTTCAAGAAGTATTGCAGCATTATCCTCAAGGGTACCATGGAGTCGATAGGGTCGGAAGACCGATTTATATCGAAAGGCTCGGCAAAGCGCACCCCGGTAGACTTTTGTGCATCACGTCTGTCGACCGCTACCTTAAATACCATGTCCAAGAATTTGAACGGGCTCTTAACGAGAAGTTTCCCGCTTGTTCAATCGCGGCAAAGAGACAAATCTGTTCGACTACGACTATTTTGGATGTGCAAGGCTTGGTACGCATACATACGTATTTTAATACGTTATATGCATACATACGTATACGGGTTCTCACGGTTCCCAAAGTATCCGAGCATACTTATAAATCATGATCAATGTGATATGCAGGGACTGAAGAATTTCACTCCAAGTGCTGCAAGTATTCTTGGAGCAATGGCAAAGGTTGACAATAACTATTACCCGGAGGTAAATCACTCGTTTCCGTTAACAAAAAGTTTCCGAATCCGCAAATTACGTAACGGGAAAAGTAACGGATTTCACGTTTACTGGCAGACGTTACACCGAATGTTTGTTGTCAATGCGGGCTCGACGTTTAGAAAATATCTATGGCCGGCTGCTCAAAAATTCCTCGACGCAAAAACAATTACAAAAATACAGGTAAAAACGTGAACGTGATTTCGAACTTCTGTTGCGCAAACTGTTCGTGACGTATTATCGGTCTCGTGTTCTATGAGATTTGCAGGTTTTGGAGCCTAAGTCGTTGGGGAAACTACACGAAGCCATCGACCCAAGGTTTGTGTTTTACGCTGTGTACACAATATAAGAAAATTGGCGTCGAAAATGTCTAAGTGTCCTAATAGACTGCTTTATAAGATTTACTTTATAGGATCAATCACCAAACGGTAAAGTCGGCTTATCTAAAGATGTTGTAATAAGTTTATAGAATGTTTTTGAGCGTCGTAACGAATCTTTTGGAAGAGTTTTATAAAAAAAACGTCGTATTAGGTATTTTATAGGGTTTGTTTATGATGTGATAAGTTGGTGATGAATTGCAACAGGCAATTGCCTGATTTCCTTGGTGGTTCCTGCACATGTTCTGCTGAGGCTGGCTGCCTTACATCTAACATGGGTCCATGGAATGACCCTGAAATAATGAAGGTATACATACACATACATATATATAGGTGGATTATTATACAACCTTTTATATTTGTACAACCAATACAACTCAATTTCAACTATCTATTTAATTTCATGAATATGTGATTTCATAGAAGTTTTGATTGTTTCCTAATATAAAGTATTGATCATAATTAATGAACCTTATTCATCTTCCATAAATATTCAAATTATAATAAATGAACTCTCATCATTTTCATAAATATTTCAATTTATTGGTTTGCAATGGTTGTACAAATGCGATGGGTTGCATTTGAAACGAATTATATATATATATATATATATATATATATGAGGATTTATGTTGTAAATTTTTTGTGAGGTGTATAACATTTATGGTGTTGGTTTAAATAAGAAGGCTAAATATTGTGAGAAGGTAAAAAGAGAATGTTTATATGTGAATTATTGAAAGGGCAAATTGTATGAAAAAGTAATGTACTTTAAGTTGATTCCTATTTTGGGTAACGTACTTTTAGAACTTCCATTTTGATACCTAAGATGTAATTAAACATTTAAGTACCAGGGTAACCGGTTGAAGCATTAACCGATTATCATGCTGATGTGGCGAATGATATGGTATCCAACTCAGTATTATTTGCTGACATGGTTTGTAACATGAATCTTTTTTAATCTAAGATTAGTCTTCAACCGGTTATCCGGGCACTTAAATGTTTAAAATTTTACATCTTAGTTACCAAAATGGAAGTTCTAAAAGTACGTTACCCAAAATAGGAATCAACTTAAAATACATTGCTTTTTCATGCAATTTGCCCTTACTGAAAAGATCCCGAAAAAATTTATTTGAAGATATGATTTTTTCAATGATTCACGTAAGAACATATATTCGACCACTTTTTGTAAGATTTGAACCCTGGACCTTCTGGACTTGCAGGTTGTTATTAATGCAGAAGCCACATTTTTAAGGCAAATCTCTCATGATCAACTGAAAGTTGATTCTTGTATCGAGATACACCCCGAAAAGGCAAGTATCGTTCTCGAGTTTTCTTGAATATCGATTTTTTTTAGAAACGGTCGGTTTTAGAATTTGTTCGGTATGTGTTAAACAGGGTAGAAGAAGTGATGAATCAACTATAGAATCAGTATCAGACGATCCGTGTTCTATGACTAGCGGAACGAGTTCTTTGATTCCAAAATTGGCATCCGTTTCTGAAGAAGTAAGTCTTATAACTTCAGTAATTATATACCTTTTGCCAGTTCTGATAAAGGGTAAAATGCATCAGAATGAAACGCAGTTTGTCTTAATTCCTATTTAGTGTAACAAAGAATTTTTTTACCCATTTTGACTGGTAAATTGTTGATCTTGTAACATCTGATGTCAAGATGATCGTCCATTTTTCTTTTGTAAACGGGTATCCACGTCATCAAATGTTACAAGATCAACATAGGTTACGGGTCAAAATGTGAATACAAAATAGGAAATTTTGTTAGATCACTAAATATGAACTAGAGTAAATTACGTCCGATCTACCTTTTTTGAAGTATATAATAATTATTTATATTATATTATAAAACATTTGACAAAAACTCTTAAAAATCATTTCTTATGCATGAATTACTGTTTATTGATGCATATTACTTAAAATTTAATATTACAAGTAAATTGTGCATAAGTATAACTTATTAAAGCTCCATATTTTAACTCGTGTATCTAACTGCAGATAAACATAATCAAATACAAGATAAACATCTCATTTAAAATATAAAAAATCTAAAATATAATTAGGATAATTATTGAGTTCTAACAAAATACTTAATTATTATCTTTATAAAAAATTATATCATTAAACCTAAATTAAATTACTTTGCTACTAACCTATATTAAGTTATAATGAAAAAATTAAATTAAAGAAATTACATAAAAGACAAGAACTTTTAAATGGTTAATTTGATACTAATATTGATTTTTTTTTCAAATTTATATTTTATTCAAAAATAAAAACATTATCGTTTTTTCAAAACCACATAAAACCGTATTATATCAACATAAAAAAAAAACATTGAAACCGAGATGTATCTTGATGCATTGCACGAATACCCTTCTAGTATACGACAAATACTCATGCACACTCCTCATCTTTGACATCGGGGGAGGTTAGGTTAAATATCAGTAACTTGGGTACCGCTCAACCAATGACCCTTTTAGGATAGAGGACCTACAAACCCTACCTTTTGGAGATACAAGTCAGGTCTGTGTACATCTTATCCTTTTCAGACCCTACTTAACTAACAGGACTACTACAAATTTATGTAGGCGATGTCATCTGATTCGTCGGTCTACTATAATTGTCGTGATCATTTTAGCCCGGTCGAAGAAGCTAGTAGCTCGGATCGAGAAGTTACAGTAGACAGTAGAAAAACACGTGGCGGTATCTTATTCGTCGAATGGTTGGAGGTTATTCATGAGAAGATTGTGAAGGGGGGCTTCAATTGCATAAAAAGGCCATTTGTGTCCTTGGTTGCAAAATTGATTGCTCATAGTGGAAGTGTTGGAAAAAGATGATGTGCCAAATTGAAGATAACTCAAACTAACTTTGAAGCTTTTTGTGTTAAGCTCTAAGACTGTTTTATAATCATGTTTAAGCTTTTTTGTAAGGACCCATTTATAGCTTAATACAACCTCTTTAACGGGTTGTTTACTAAATGCTTACTGGATAACTGCTTATTGACAAGAGTCACCACTGAGAGGGGTTGTTTACTAAACAGTAACCTTGGCAAGTGCTTAGTGGTTCAATTACCTTATTGGGTGAACATAACAAAGTTTAGATTAAAGAGAAGACAAAGGATCAAAAGTCTTGCCCATAAGTGAAAGTGATGACTCGTATCCGGTAAGCAATTACTGGGTTATAAACGCTTGCCATTAATCCATTTTGATGGCCGAAAATGTTGTCTCATAAGGAAGGTGAGAGTGATGATTTTTGCCGGTAAAAGCTTACCTGGTAAGCGTTTGGTAAAAGGCCCATCACTTGCCTTGTGAGACGATATTTTTGGCTATCAAAATGGATTGACGGCAAGTGTTTATAACCTAGTAAGCACTTAATGAATAAGACTCTTGATCTTTGTCCCTCCTCTTGCCGAGTAAGATTTTGGTCTTTATTATGTCCCCAAATAAGTGATCCCTTTTAAAAATAAGTGCATGCTTTCCAATTCTACCCTTAATTATGAGATAAATAAATTCATTACTTCATCCATTATTGGGTAAAACTGTCATTTTCCACTTATGTGGGACAATGGTCTTCTTTAGGTGACAATTTTGTACCAAACCAAACCAACCAACATGCATACTGATCGTACCAGTTCAATCAGTACCGGTTACAATCGGCTGATAATACCGTACCAAGTATCCAAACTTGGTTTGTTCTTGTACCGACAAACTACTAAAGCAAGAGGAAAATTACCTCTCGCATACAGTAAAAGCAGAAAGAACTAAGGGGGCGTTTGGTTCATAGAATGGAATTCGATGAAATTGGAATTCATCAAATGAAATTGGAATTCATCAAATGAATTGGAATTTGAAGGAATGAAATGGAATTTGTTGGAATTTGACCATGCCTTGTAATTTCGTTTGGTTGCATGGAATTGGAATGAATTTGGATTAGGGAAGAAATTTGTCGAAAAGGAATTGAAATCCAAGAGTATTGTCGTGGAATGTAAAATCCGTGAGTGAAGGAATTTATTGGAATTGAAAGAATTCCATCATTTTTATTCCATGAACCAAACATTGTATTTGGAATTTGGCCATTCCAATTCCTTTCAATCCCATCCAAATCCATGAACCAAAACAGCCCCTAAGATTGGCATACAGTAGAAACGTGAATACTCATGCCGACATACAACGAACGGAAACTATACAAAACTAAAATCGTTTCATACCCGATGAATGAACCCAAATTAAATGTCGAAAAAAGTGGAATCGTTCTCGATTGACCAGCAAAATCAATATCATGAAGTACACATTTCAAGTTGGAAAAATAAGATTAATGTTACAAAGTACACCTAAATTAATCTCGAACCATCACAAAAAAAATCTGTAATATTGTAATCGGTTTGAAAATTTGAAAGTTACAGATACGAGGAACGAGTTACCCGCCAAAAAGATATCCGGCCGCTTGATCTTCGTTACCTTCGAAAAGCTTCAGAGCTTCTATAACTTCATTTCTACTAAACCCTAGTTCAACAAGCTTCCCAATTTTGGCTTCAAATTCAGCCCCCTAATCACATAACATACATCAAGATTCAAGAATGAGATTGAATTCCTCATAAAGGTTCGGTTTCAAAAGTTTACAGGCTATTTTCCAATTCTATCCTTAATTTACGAGGCGGAAAAATTCATTACATCCTCTATTAAGGGTAAAATTGTCATTTAGTCAATTAAAAAGTGTAATGATTACACATTCTTAAAGTTGTATGTCTTTTCATTGTGAACATTTATTTTAGGACGACTCAAATTAAGGTTGGCCCATAATAAATATCCACTTTCAAAAGTAAACGATTACTTTCCAATTTTACCCTGAGAAATTCATTACCCCTTCTAGTATTAGGGGTAAAATTGTCACTTTCTTAATTAAAAAGATGTAATAATCAGACATTTCTAAAACTATAGGTCTTTTAGTTGTGAAAAGACTGTCCACATTTCATATATCCATTTTCGTAAGTGAGTTACTTCCCAAATCCACCCATGAAGCAATTCATCACTGCTTCTATTATCAAGGGTAAAACTGTCATTTTCTTAACTAAAAAGTGTGATAATTATATAATTCTAAACCTGTATATTTAATTTGGGACAAAGGGAATATCGGATAAACGAACTAACCTGTGTAGGACCGCCACTGACAGGGCCTGCAGGTTGAGAAAAACACGCAAACATTTGTTATCATATACCTTGAACATATACGCTTCTCGTCCCACTTTCCATTTTGGGACGTCACATAAAATTGCAACATTTTCGTTATCGAACCTTTTGAAGCTACAATGTATAGTGTAATGGTAATATAGTTTTGGATCCACAAGATTCTCCTATTTTCTCATATTGATGGCTATAAAGAGTCGAACTCTTTCCTAAAACTATGTATTCAGTCAAAAACGTTGCAATTTCCATGGCTTTGATTTACTCTCATGCAATAACCATCTATGGTGTTTTTTGAAGCAAATAACTCGGCATAATTAAATAATACGATAAACAATTCTAACCAGAAGATTGACCGCCAAAAGGTGTTGCTGATCCAGATGTACCCTGAAAAATACATTTTAGATAAGGCATTTGTATGTGAAGCAATCCCTTAACACCATATGAGCTTAACAGGACTCACAGCTTATTTGGTCAGTTATACATGACTGTTTGGTAGTGGCCTGATGATATAGTAAGCTTCTAAGTGGAGCTTTATGCAGAAAGCCAAGTTTTTCCAGACCTACCCCTCCCAATTAAAAAATACACTCCTTCCATCTATAAAACACCCCTCCCAAATAAAAACCTTTTTGATCTATACAGACAGCTTTACCCATACAGGAATGGAAAACCAACCAAACAGCCCCTATGTGTCATTATGCCCATAAACTTTCTTTTTCACATGCTTTTTGCAACCCCCCAAGAAAGGGGAGGGGGATCCTTAACGGAAACAGCCGCTCTACTCTCTGGGGTAGATGACAGATTTCCATGCATCCCAACCCCACCTTCAGGTGGGATATATATTACTGGGATGGTTTCGTTTCGTTTCTTGGCTTCGATCATTTAAGTGATATAGAAAATGAATTTTGAAATAACAAATTGATAGAAATCCATGTCTAATCACTATGCAATGGGGAGCAATATCTTACTTGAAGTCCAGAGCTAGAAGCTTCCTTCAATTGCCTCTCCTCATCCAAGAAACGCTGCGGGATGTCCTTTTCTGTACATTCATATAGAAGGTTAAAAACGTCATTCGACCCACAAATACGATTGAAAATAGTAAGGATGCATTATAAACGACAAGAAAGTGGAAGGAAAAAACCGACTAACCTTGCAAAAATGGTACAGAAACCTCTCCTCCGCCAACTCTCAAGACATTGTCTTTCAAATCAATTATGCATTGGTGTTTACGGAGCATATCCAATCCAAAGAGGAATTCCATATTGGGAGAATCCAAGACCAAAAAGGAACACGGATAAAAGATATTCCCAATCTACCATGATTTATATATAACATTTTAAGCAAGAATAATGGAATATAAATACACGGAGAAACTAGTTTAATGAAATGAATGTTACTTTAATTGGAGCAACGTGTATCCGACCAAGAATCTCTGATTGACCAACTCCTTGAGCAATTCCCTTGTAACGTTGGTCTAAAAGCCTAAGCAATCTGAAAAGCGGATAGTAGCAACAATAAACCTTTCATCCGTATAATAATATACAAAGTTTAGTTGAAGATAAAGAATGATGGCGACATAATCATATTTATATTAAACCAAACGACCCCAGTATATCCACCCGGAGGTGGGGTGTGGGGAGGGTAAAATGTATGCACATCTAACCTCTAGCCGAAATGGAGCCCCAGCTTGTGAAAGTTGTGAGAAAGAGAGAAAGTCAGATAAGATAAAGTTTTGAAAAGTTGGCTAAGGGTCTGTCTGTTTACAGCTTAATGAGTTTCATGGGACTCGCAATTTATTTGGTACATGAGGGTTTGGCAATGGCTTAATGATATATGCACTAAGCTTCTTGGGGGAGCTTTATGCAGAAAACCAAGTTTTTTACAAACATGTCCCTCCCAATTAAAAACACGCTTCTTTTGTCTATTAAAAACCCTTCTAAACAAAAACTGTCCCAATCTATACAGACAGATTAATCCACACAGACAACTTTATCTATACATATCTTAATGGAAAACTAACCAAACAGCCCCTAAGAGTCAGCAATATCATACAAATAGAAGCATGTACAAGAAAACCGTAACTAAAATATGGAAACTACACACCCCTAGTCTAACTTACTAACCCCATCTACCTCTTTGGCTCCCTACCTCCTGATTACTCTAGCTATGAATCCCCACCCCTAGTCTTGTGTCTCCAAGAGCTCCTATTGTCATGTCCTCAGAAATGTCTAAAGCCGCCATGTCTTACCTTAGTTGCTCATCCCACGTCCTTGATCCCAACACTTATATAAGCTCTTGATATAACACTTTCATTAAGCTCTCTCTCTCTCTCTATATGTGTGTGTGTGCGCGCGCACACACGTAATATCAATATAATTTTTCTTCTTTTTATATGAATTTAAATCGTCCAATATTATTGATTGATAGCAGAAAACATATATTATACAGACTTGCCGCCCTAAGTCGCCTTGGAAAATATTGTGGCCTCACCGTGGGTCCCAAGGCTTAACCTCGCCATCACGCCATGCCTTACGCCACTAGAACCTTGACAAGGTCATACCCCTTTTAAGTACCCCACAAAATTTGTAATATGTACTTATTGGCATGTAAGTTAACAGCTTCAGTCCATCAAAATAAAGTTTTCTAGAAAGTTTTGATATGTTCCATTATGGAAGTAAAGGGTTAGGTTCCGGTAAGAATGGAAGTTATAGTGAACAAGGTAAGAAGGGATCTCCACCTTGGAGCAATCCTAATTGAAGATCAACACTAATGAGATGCACCGGATCAATTCCCATGAAAATCGCAATTCATGGGGTGGGGGTAAGACTAAAAGTCATCAAGGGTTTAAATCCCTTCTTACGTTTCTCACCTTACGTTTCTCACCTTAACTTCTATTCTCACACGATCCTTCGGCTTGAAGTAAAATGGACCAAATAGCTTCCAAAAACATGTGCCAATAAACATAGTAATACTCTTTTATAAACTTCATGGAGACGAGGGATATACACCCCATGCTTTTACCTCTTATTAATCAACATGAATGCTACTAGTAATCAAGCAACGCTTTCAGCAAAATAATATTAAAAGTTAAATGATCCCATCATTTGCATTGTTAAATAGAAAAGATGGCCACCGGATAGAATGAGTAGTCTCTTCAAAATTGCAAAAGAAATACATACCCCAAACGCTCCGCGCAGCTTTTTGATATTATAGTTGATTGGGCTCCACTATCAACGAAGGCCTGAATTTCAATAGGGCACAGGGCGTAAACTAGTATTCATTTAACAACACTGATATGTCTATGTGTACTTGTATACATATGTTCCAAGAAGGTTGAAGAACAAGGGAATTAAATTACACATGCAGTAGCTGCTAGTTAGGGGTGTTCACGGTGCGGTTGGGGCCAAACCACAAACCGCACCGCATATATCTCAAACAGCAAAAAAAATGCACCGCGAAATGCGGTGCAGTTTATGCGGTTTGTACCTAACACACTTTGCACCTGCAATCCAGTAATTATAAGATTAAAACTTTATTATAAACCAACGATATCGAGACAGTAATCTGAACAAATAAAAAGTTCAAATACATCTGATTACCAGATAAATGCTACATAATTAAAAATAGTTAAGAAAACTAAAAATATTACATAATTAAAATAGTCTAAGAAAGCTAAAAATATTACGTAAATTAGCCTAATTATTATATATATATATATATATATATATAAATTAAAAATATATATATATATTTAAAATGTGCAGTGCGGTTTGAACCACGGTTTGATAGCTCAAAACCGCAAACCGCACCGCATAATGCGGTTTGGTAAAAATGGAACGGCACCACGGAAGTTCTAAACCTCGTTTTGCGGTGCGGTGTGGGCGATTTGTGCCGTTTGGAAGAACACCCCTACTGCTAGTAAATAAAATTGATGTGATAATCCCATGAAATAAGATAAAGCAAGGAGGTATGACAATTTTTTATCATTTTTTACCTTCATGGGAACACCATTAACTTCCATGTCAACATACAACATGACCTGAAAAATAAATCAAATGAACATTTGTTTCCGATAATCTAAATGTTGGTAGTATAAAAGTGATGGTTAATAATTCATACCACTCTTGCAAAAGCTTCGGGGTTGTGTTCTAGTGCAGCAGCCCAGTTCTCATCAATACCTTTCTGCAAAATAATGATAACCAACTCAAAAGCCAAAACAACAAGATATCACATAAAATCTCAAAAAAGAAGGGGAAATAAAAGGAGTACCAAAGGGTGAAAAGGGTTAAATGGTAGAAAAATTAAATCCAAGTGACAAACAGGTGTCACCAATAAAAACAATCAGCCATTTAATTATGAAGACTTGTAAAAAATTTAATTTTCTGCTCACTGCAACTATTTAAGAGCAAGATGCACATCTTTATTATGACATACAGATTATGATGTTTCAGCAAGCAGGGCAATATCGTAAAGCGCGGCAGCTAAGACATGCACACATAAAAAATCATCATAGACAACTTTAAAATCCAGGGATCTTACTGCAATGGGGACCGGGCCAAAGAAGAGGAACAAAAGCATATGGTAGTAACAACATAAAATTCCACAAGAGACAACATAGTCATTTGAAACTAATTTGGAGTTGCCCACTGGTAATTTAGAAAAGCATGGATTAAGGCTCTTCAATATGCTAAAAGGTGTCACGTTGATAGCCACATTATATTATACACACACACGCAAAAAAAATTATATTGATGCTCGCTAGTGAGAAAAACCACATGCTCACACCTGCAGGAAAAATAATGTATCTACAAGTCATGACAAAATAGTGTTCACTAATGAGAAAAAAACAAATGCTCACACACCTGCCGGATTGCAGCTTCAATTTTCTTTTGTGCTTCCACGTCAAAAGGGTCTGCATAGAGTAGCGCCTGTGTTTCAGACAAACAAAATACCATGAACGTATTTATTAGATATGAAATCACACAAGATAGCTGCAATAAATAAATTGTGGGTTTAATAGACATGGAGCCAACCATGTTCCTAAGACAAGCTACCATTAATGCAGGTGGCCGAAAAAGACGGGCCAGCAGCACCTAAAGCAAAACTTAGAGCGACTTATAAATGTGCTGGTATGACATCAAGAACGGACCCAGGGGTTTTTTGAGGTGGAATGTGCCACCGTTTCGTTCCTCCGTCGCAGTGTAAAAAATATAGGGTCATGAAAAGTGTCACCGTATCAATTTGTTGTGTGCCACTGCTACCGTATATATTTTGAAACTACAATAAGGACACAAGTTTTCCTTGGTAGAGTTGGTTTGCAAGTCTTTTCTTCCACCCCAGACCCGAGTTTGAATCCCGTTCGTGTCATTTTCTTAGTTTTTAGCTTTTAATTTCAGATTTATTATGTTTCTGGAAAAAGAAATTTCAATAAGAGACTTGAAAAGGGACCTCACATATGAAAGCCAATGAACTAACCAACAGAATAATGATGATTTTGTGAAAAATATCCCCATATTTGTTTATTATAGTCAAATGGTGCCACCGTTTGAAAAAATTTCTGGGTCCGTCCCTATGGTATGTGACATTAGATTTTCACATGATGGCAGTACATGAACAGACAACTATTTATTGATTATTATCGAGTCTCGGGGAGCTAAATATGAGTTCAAAGATAATTTCTTCGAGTGGTGTAGGATATTTGTAGAAAGGGAAAAACAACAAAGCCAAAGCTTCGCTGTTCTTTGAGTGGTATAGGATATTTGTAGAAAGGGAAAAACAACAAAGCCAAAGCTTCGCTGTTAAAAGCAACTTACCATCTCTTCCTCCTGTTGCCTTCTTAATTCAGATCTCTGACGGTGACGCACCCTTAAGAGGTCCTGCAGCTTATTCAAGTCATTCCCGATAACTACTTGTGCCAACTCAGGATCGCTCTGTTATTCACATCAAGGGTCAGGAACTCCACAGCAGAAATGCACTTGAGAGCTGACAAATATTATTTCTACCTGAAACAATTGGGCCATCAAATTTGAATTATTCCGCACTTGCTGCTGGAACGCAGCTGGGTCTAGAGCGGACCCATCTGGATTTAAGCTAACTTCATTGCTAGAACCCCTGAATTTTTTTCAAACCTCACTAGTTAGCATAAACTTACCAATGCAGGTACATCTTTAGGAATTAGGGCAATTGTAAAAGAGATGAATATAATCATGAAGAAGTAGAACATGCATTGGGATTATGAAAAAAAATAGATTCCAATGTTCAACATTCAAAGGGAATCAGTTACAGATCATCATATGCAAGTTCAATTGATCCTAAAGCATCACAGAAGCAGTCAGACTATCTAATATAAACGAAATTTACATAAAAAATAGCCGAAGCTGATAGGTGGTTTCAAATTTTAGCCATTTTTTACCCAAATTCACTTTTTAGCCAATCCTTATGCATAAACATTGGTTTTCGGCAAAAAATCCTTACGCATATGCGTAAAGTTTCGAAGTAAGGATTCATATATAGTGAAATCTAGGCAGAAACCTTAAGCATATGCGTAAGCAAAGTTGTTAAAGGCTACACTTAGGCACAAAGGGTTCCTGGGGCCTAGGGCGCAACTTATAAAAAAATGTACATACACACACACACAGAGTTATACACAACTCAAATATGTAGCAAGTACTCCAATGCAACAACCGGCAGTACTTCAATAGGGGCAGAAGGGAGAAGGGTTTAAAGCGTGAGTAATGAGGTAGAAGTTTTATAGGTCAGGGTATTTATAGAGAAAGAGGCTTGAAGTTATAAGAACTGAAAAACTTATTTAATATTGGGGTTTGACTTGGTATTTAAATTTAATGACTCTTTATGACACTAGGCGCCTCAGCCAAGGCCTTAGTGAGCCTCGTGAATATACCTAGCCTCGACTTTAAAAACGCCCAAGACCTTGAGCCTTATTATCCTCATGCACGCTTTTAACAATCCTATGTGTAAGGATTCTTTCTTTTTTTCCCGAAAAATCAATCTTTACACATATGATTGAGCCTTATATGGAAGGATCGGCTAAAAAGTGAATTTGAGTAAGAAAATAGCTAAAAAATGAAACCCTATTTGTTGATCGGCTAATTCTGTCAAATTCCCCTAATATAAATCATATTTAAGTTGGCATCAATCATTCCACACTACATCTTTAGGGGTATATGATGTCAACTAATGAATAACTAAATTCAAATAAAAAACACACCTTGAAGAAGAAGGATTAGAAACCATCATTACTAAATCTCCATCAGTAACACCCAAATGACTAAGCGTTTCAGCATTCTTCATCTCCTTCCCATTGTAAAGCAGCTGCTGTTGCTGAAGTGGTACTTGAGACTGCTTATTATAAACACACCACATTAAATCAAATATCAAATTGCACACTTGTTTCGAAACCAGGGATTTTCAAAAAAAAAAAGGTAATTACTAATCTCACCTCAATTTCAAGTAGAGCTTTCAGATTTTCAACCTGTAGACACAATCAAAGTTGTGAACTCCTTTAATGGCGGCAGATGATCAAACAACAAAAAAAACAAACAAAAAGGTTTTCTAGGGTTTTGAGATTGAGTATGAGAAAGAGAGAATTCATACAGATTCATCGCGATCGACTTCCAAAGTAATGATTTGTTCGTCGGCCGTCATTACAGTGATCTTCATACTGTTCTTGGATTCGATTTTGGATTGGAATTCCTGAAGAAGATTCTGATGGTTTTCTGTGGTTTTTCTTCTTCAAAGGTTGGCGTTGTTGACCCTCTTCCAGATTCCTTACCGTAAACGTTGGGATCGCACCGGGGTTTCTACGGGATCAGAATTTATCAATTTACTATTTATATGAGAATTTATATAGAGATTTGCTCAAAAATAATAGTAAATATATAATTACTTGTATTTATTATTATTACTGGAAGGGTACTAACGCAATCCAGCAAAATACATCTCGATTTTAATATTTTAATTTATTCTGTTTATGTCGATATAATATGGTTTTGGAAAAGCAGCAATGTTTTTATTTTGAATAAAATATAAATTTAAAATATATATATATATATATATATATATATATTTATATTAGTATCAAGATATATATATATATATATAATTCAATTTCTGTTAAAACTCAATTATTATCTTAATTATATTTTAAATTTTTTATATTCTTAAAAATGAGATATTTATCATGTATTTGATTATATGTATCTAAAATTTGTTTACACGAATTCAAACATAAAGCTTTAATAAGTTGTACTTATACACAATTTATTTGTAATCTTAAAATTTAAGTAATATGTATCAATAAACAACACTTCATGTATAAAACATAGTTTTGTTAAGAGTTTTTGCCAGATGTTTTATAATATAGTATGGATTATTTTATTTGTTTCATAAAAACTCATTTTCTGTTTTGCTTTTAAAACAACAGGAGTGTTGTTTCAACAAAAAGACAACACATACATTGGTTTGTTTTATTAATGGAGTGTTGTTTTACCAATGATGAATTGGTTGATATGTATTGATCTGTTTTTTTATAATATAAGGGTGTCTTTAGTGTCCAGACATGACAAAACAATTGTTCAACGTTTGTTAAGATAAAATTGGACAAAACAGAACAAGTAAAACGACCAATTTACTCTTAGTGAGTTGTTAGTATATTTATGCAATTTATTAAATTATGATAAAACAATTATCTTTTCTAACAAAAAACATATCATTTGATAAAGTTTATAAAAAACAATTAAAATTACACCAGTATAAAAAGTTTATATAGTTTCCAATTTTTTTTTTTTCTTGTTCTACATTGTTTTTCTATTAATTAATATATAATAATTTATATACATTAATAAAATATAGAAATCTGGTCAAAATGATATTTTGAGATCAGTACAATAAAAAATTAAAAACATAAAATACAATAAATAAAATATGTATGTTTACAGTTACTGAACATATATACGAATGAGTTATAGAGATGTGAGTAGATTGAAAGTATGTGTACATGAAGAGCATACGTGATAGTCTAACTGTCTAATGTATACGCTAACAAAAATCAACAATCATATTAAATCCAACAAATAAAATGATATCAGGTTCATCGGGTTGTGTTGAGTTCAAATAACAGTAACCAATTCCTACAGTTTGAAAATTTTACAACTTGATTAGACATCGAGTTGCTATAGATTAAGTTATTTCGAATTGGGTTGAGTTGGATTGATCGGTTTGGTCGGATTTTTGAGCACCCTTAGTGATGACAAGTGAATAATCTATTGAAATCCCACTCATAACTAAAAATAAACCATATGAACTTATATCTGCTTTTTAAAATTATATTTTATATAGAAAAATTAATTAAAATAGTCACGTTTTTACTTGTTAAGAGGGAAGATAATGATTGAGAGTCTTATCTGGTAAGTGAGAATAATAACTCTTACCCAATAAATACTTAATGATTTAAAATATTACATAATAAGGTAAGTGAGAGTGATGCCTCTTGCCAATTTATACAGGATGTAATTTATTATTTAACAATTATTAGTTGGTCCCAAATTGAAAAAGTCCACACCGCGTCAACACGACTGGCCTCCATGTCCGTCTTCTGGATCCTGTCTGTTCTTCGCTGTCTTTCTTCTTAACAATCAAATTCTCATTTTCTCTCACATATCTCTCTCTCTCTCTCTAGATTTCAATTGATTTCACCTGCAACTATGAAGATCCTGATCTCCGTTCTCCTTCTGTTATGCTGTATCTCTACATGTTTCTCTTCTCCGCTTTCCATTTCAGGTTTGTTTTCATGTGATTCCAGCTTGATTCTTCTGATTTAGATCAACTTCTGATCTTCACCTTTATTTCTTCAACAGATGGTGTCTTCAGCTCTGGAGCTTCGATTGGACGAAACCTTCTTCAGGCTAAGAAACGTTCGTCCTTCTTACATTTCTAATTTTAGGCATATCTGTTTGGAACTCTGTAGCCTCTTCAAGTGATTATTTGATTTGTTTTAATTGATCTTAGATGCCAAACGATATTCTCTGATTCCAAAATTGGAAGAAGGAAAGGATATTTAGGGGTTGTTTGGTTGGATTTTTGTTAAGTCCTTGTATTGATAAATATGACTGTCTGGATTAATTTATCTGTATAGAACGGGAAGGTATTTGTTTTGGATGGTTTTTTTTATAGATGGTAGCATCGCGTTTTATAACTGGGAGTAGTGGTAGGTTCAGGCGGAACTTGGCTTTTTGCATAAAGCTTCCCCTAGAAGCTTATTAAGCCATTTCGTATATCATTAAGTCACTACCAAACTATCATGTATAGTTGATCGAATAAGCTTTGAGTCCTATTAAACTCATTTAGCTGCTAAGAAACAGGTCCTAAATATCCTTTAGCTATAAACTGCCATAATTTTATTGATATGTAAGTTAGGGTTTGGTAGTATGATGTTTTGAAATTTTGATCTCAAATTTGCTTCGATTTGGAATTAGAGCCATGAAATTGGAATTCCTATACACCCTATCCATAATCTACCTATGGGTTGCTCATAAAGTCCATGAATGTCGAGTTTGGCACAATTTTTTAGCAACTAAATGAGCTTAATAGGACTCGCAGCTTATTCAATCAGCTATACATGATTGTTTGGTAACGGCTTAATGATATAAAAAGTGGCTTATTCAATAAGCTTCTAGGAGGGAGCTTTATGTAGAAAACCAAGTTTTTTCAAACCTACCCTACCAATTAAAAAACACACTCCATCCATATATGAAAAACCCTAAAAAGAACATTCTTAATCAATATGGACAGATCAATCCACATAGACAACATTTAGTTCTATATGGATAAAGCTGTCATTGTGGATTAATCTGCATGTATAAATTGAGAAGCTTTTGTTTAGGACGGTTTTTAATAGATGGAAGTAGCGTGATCTTTAATTGGGAGGAGCAGGTTAGGAAAACCTTGGCTTTCTGCATAAATCTCTTCTCTAGAAACGTACTGAATCAGCCGTTTTCTATATCATTAAGCCACTACCAAATAAGCTGACCGAATAAGGTGTGAGTCACATTAAGCTATAACAAACAGACCCTTAATGGAAAACCAAGTTGGTTATATGCTTTTTGTACTTCGAGTGATATTGGTTTGTTTTAACCTGCAGCTTGCCCCGTAAACTTCGAGTTCATGAATTACACAATCATCACTAGTCGTTGCAAAGGACCGCAATACCCTGCTAATCTATGTTGTCAAGCATTTAAAGACTTTGCTTGCCCTTATGCCGAGGACTTAAATGATTTATCGAACGAATGTTCATCAACAATGTTCAGTTACATCAATCTATACGGAAGCTATCCACCTGGGCTTTTTGCTAGCTTGTGTCGGGATGAAAAAATCGGTCTGATCTGTCCGGCTTTAGCACCCGGAGCAGGAAGGAACAGTGTCGGTGCTGATTCTAACAACAGCCATAATATCCACAATCCGACCCTATTGCTGATGTTAATTGCAGGGTTCCTAATCTTCTTGTCCCAGTGGTTTTAAAGGCTCGAGCTCGCTGCATTTTCTTGCCAATGCCGGTAAGTTTTATCTGTGTTTTCGATGTTGTATCATCACCACGTGTATTAGATATAGCTCTCGGTTGAAATTCTTGTATAATTATTAGCGTTATTGTTTACCCGCAAATAGAAAATGATATTTTTTATCCAAGTTTTCGATGTTGTATCATCTCCACATGTATTAGATAGGGCTCCCAATTGAAATTCTTATATAATTATTTGCATTATCCTTTACAGCTGATTTGTGTTAAGAGGCCTCATTCTGTATCTACTGTTAGAGCATCTCCAATAGCTATGTTACTTTAGAAATTCTGGAGATTTGGGAAAAATTAGCTCCAAGAGCTATGCTAAACTCTCCTCTAAAATGTAGAGAAAGAAAAGGAAAGAAAATGGAGAAATCTCTAAATCTGGAAGAAAATAGAGAAAATATAACATACCTGAAGCTTTTCTTTAATTTTTCTAAGAGTAAATTGCATGAAAAAGTAATGTACTTTAACTTGATTACTATTTTGGACAACTTACTTTCAGAACTTCCATTTTGGTACCTAAAATATAAAGTTTTAAACATTTAAATACCCGGGTAACTGGTTGAAGCATTAACCGATTACCATGCTGATGTGGTGAGTGATGGGATGAAATTGGGTTGAATAGCAAATAATGCTGAGTTGGATACCACATCACTCGCCACATAAGATGGTAACCAGTTAATGCTTCAACCGGTTAACCATGTACTTAAATGTTTAAAACTTTACATCTTAGGTACCAAAATGGAAGTTTTGAAAGTACGTTACTCAAAACAAGAATCACGTTAAAGTACACTATTTTTTCATGCAATTTGCCCCTTTTCTAAAATAGAGTATCAAAACTCAAAATCCCTAAAAAATTACACCCAACTCCAACAACTACTCTACTTTAGCAATTCCAGAATTAATTATATTATTAAAATATTCAGTACATTTAATAAAATATTATTTCTCTCTCTTAAACATTTATCTTCCATATCTCTTATTGGTGGAAGATAATTGAAATATTATTTCTCTCTCCTATTTAGAGATTTTCATATTCTCTTTCTTCTTTTTTCTATTTTATCATACAATATAGCATAGCTTTTGGAGCACAAAACTCTCCTAAATCACCAAAATTTCTATGATAACACAGTTGTTGAAGATGCTCTTACAGTTACTTGTGTCATTGTGCATATTTGTGGTCCTGCATGCAATAATACAAGAACCCTTCATCTTCTTGATTATGGGATAATGTTTATATGGCTGTGAATGAATATAAACTTTCAAATACCAAAATAAAAAATCTCATTGACAGCAAGAAAAGATGACAAGAGACCAAGAATAACCAAATATCATGCAAACATGGCTTCTTCTATTGACCATCTCTTCATTACATTGAACATAGTTAGCCACCCATGTATGGTGTAACATCCCCGGCTAACTGTACAAGATATTATCCACTTTGTTCGTACCTGGACTCACGGTTCTAAAATGCGTCTGGTAGAGGAAGTATTCAGTCCCTTATAAGTCAACCTTAGTTGTAACATCTCAGGCTAACCATACTAGATATTTTTCGCTTGTCCACATCTGGACTCATGATTTTAAAACGCGTCTAGTAGAGGAGGTATCCAGTCAATTATAAGGCAACCTTAGTTTCCTTCCCCAACTGATGTGGGATCTTACATATGGAGTCGGGATCATGTAAGAAATTTTCATTTTTGTGAGAAGAGGTGAAGGTACTTTTATATTGTCTAAATGTTACGTTATACTCTGTGAAGTTTTTACCTTTTCTCACCTTCTCACGACAAGGGGTTGTTCTCACCGTAGCCAACCCTCTATGACTTCGACGGGTGTTCCGGCCTCTGTCACGTTGCTGCAAATGTGCAACAACTCGAAAGAAATTAGGCAATTACACGCCCAATTGGTCTTGTCGGGGTTGATTAACCGTAGGATTAACGCAGGGAGGCTAATTGCATCCTATGTTACTTGTGGACAAAATCTTGAAGCTTTATCTGTGTTTCACACAATTCCTTCTCCTGATATATATGCATACAACACCATTATTAGGGGTTTAATTTTAGCCAAATGCCCACATGAATCACTTCTGTTTTACAATAAACTCTTGGAAGAAAGCCTAACACCAGATAACCATACTTACACTTATGTTTTAAAAGCATGTTCACACCGAAAAGTGCTTTTTGAAGGGAAACAACTCCATGCCCAGATCATCAAGACTGGCACGAAACCCGACACTTATATTCTTAGCTCGATGATAAGTATGTATGCAAGTTCGGGTGAGATGGGTTTTGCGGAATCCGTTCTTGGTGGGTTTTCGGAAGAGAATGTACTTGGGAAGAATGCGATGATTACTGGTTATATGAGGCAGGGTCGAGTTGAGTATGCACGCCAGGTGTTTGATAAGATGTCTACAAGAGATTCTGCATCTTGGAGTGTGATGGTAACAGGGTACACGAGAAACGGTATGTATACGGAGGCGTTAGTTGTTTTCCAAGAAATGATGGGTTCTAAAACTCCAGTAAACGAGTCAACGCTGGTGAGTGCTCTTTCTGCGTGCGGGCATTTGGGAGCGCTCGATCAGGGTCGATGGATTCATGTTTATATTGATAGGATGTGGGATGAGAGTATTAGTGTTAATCTTGGAACTTCCATTGTTGACATGTATGCAAGATGTGGATGTATCGAGTTCGGCTATGAATTCTTCAAAAATATGCCCGAGAAAGACGTCGTTACTTGGGGGGTCATCATTTCCGGCTTCGCCACACACGGATTAGCCGAGAAATGCTTTCAACTTCTCGATGAAATGGTTGCTTACGGAACGCAACCGAATGAGGTTATATTTGTAGCCATACTCACCGCCTGCTCTCATGCAGGATTAGTAGACTCGGGTTGGTTGTATTTCGATCAAATGACAACTTTATATGGTATTAAACCGTCGGTTCACCACTATGGGTGCATGGTTGATCTTCTTGGTCGTGCCGGAAGGTTAGCCGAGGCCGAAGAACTCGTGTCAACAATGGCGGAGGAACCAAATGCGATTATATGGGGTTCATTACTTGCAGGTTGTCGAATCCACGGAGATTCTAGGCGTGGGGAATTTGCGTTCAAGAATCTAATTAGGTTGGAGCCACTTTCAGGCGAGCGGTTTAAGCTAGTGAGTCATTTGTTGGCAGATGTTGGACAACGAGAACGTGTACCTAAACTGAGAAAAGAACTTTCAGACCGAAACCTAGAGACAACACGAGGGTCGAGCTTGATTGAGGTTGATGGGGAGGTTCATGAGTTTGTAGCAAGTGATATCGATCATAGAAGGTATCAAGAAATATATAGTCTGTTCCAAGGCTAAACCAAGTGTCTTAAGCTTTTTTTAAGCGGTTTGATCTTCCATATATCGATAAGAAAAGATGAATGATGGTACCCGATGACATGCATACGTACGTTTGTGGCCATATGTTCTGAATCTGTTTGGTTCGCAGAGTGAAGGGTAATTTGGTAATTTACCATTTTTCCATCACGAAGTTATATAATGCAAACAACCCCCACCATCCACCACCCTTGTCATCATCGTTGCTGCCACCAATTAATTTATATTAAAAAAATACGAAAATATCATGAAGCGTATAATTTACCCTTTTTCCATCACGAAGTTATATATTGCAAACAAAAAGACATCAACTAAGGAGGTGTTCAGTTCTGGTAGAGGAATGAAAATGAGAATTCCCTCAGATGAAAATTTGGGTTTCTCAAGAAATAAACCTGTTATATTATATAAAACCAAACAATTTCTTTTATATTCATTCACTGTTTAATACTTCCTACCAAACACCTCCTAATTCTGACAATTTCATTCCATCTTCTACCAACCAAACACGTGGTCAAATTTGATTGAATTCCACTTCAATTTTTTTCTAGACATTCCCTTCATCCAAAAAACATTATGCAAACCAAACTCCCCCTAATGTTCACACCAACTTCTTAATTCTACTTGTATAACATCACTTCGAAGCTTATTTGCTTACCACAAAGTTCGGGAAGTCGCTTACAAATTTATTTTACCTATATTACAAAGTTTTGTTACCCACATCGAGCATATTATGATACACAATCGGCACAAATCAAGAACATAACAACACAACCCGTATCGCCTATTGGTGCGTTACGTCTTTTTGTAACTAAGTTGATGTTTAAATGGGCAAATTTAATCCCCAAATATCACCACATGAAGTTTCTTCTGGACTTTGGTCTGAATTCCTTCTTTGTGATGCACCAAGAATTTGGAAAGGTGCTCAACTACATACAAAAGATGAATTTGTAGATAAGTTGACTCAACAAGAATCAAAGACTTGGCCATTGGATAACACATTTCAAAAAGAGGGTCACTGTGAAAAAAAAACGGAATAAAAGAACCAAACCAAACGAATCCAGTGAATCCCACTCGAAAGTAGGGTCCAAGGTCACTTTTACCCTAAAATAGTAGAACAGTTGTTTCTGTGAAGACGCCCTGACTTATGCAAGAGTGTGAGCAAACAACTAGAGGGAATAAAGATAAGCATAGGTGAACACTAGAAGACTATATACTAGTATAAAGTTAGGGGCCGTTTATTAAGCGCTTACTTTGTTAAGTGCTTACTGGGTCACTTTACCTCATCAGATGAACATGACAAGAATTGAAAATCTTACCTAATAAGAGCGATGACAAGGACCGAGTCTTACCCGGTAAGTGAGAGAGATGACTTACACGGTAAGCGCTTACCGAATAAAAATGTTGCATATGGTTGTTTTAATGGACTAAAATCTTACCCAGTAAGTTAAGTGAAACCGTTAACTCTTACTAGTAAGCACTTACGGGGTAAGCATTGTGTAAACGGCCCCTTACAATGCTGCCAGAAGGGCCATTGGCCTAACGGTATTTGGGACTTTAGTCTCCCACAAGGTCAGGGATTCAAACATTACCAAAAATGAGGAGGGTGTGTGAGTTTATTTGTTACATTTGTCTATATACTTTACAAAATTAAAATAGAAAACTTACGTTGCTGAGAAGTTGTGCACCATACCATGCAGAATCTGCGCCATATGGGGCTGGAATAACACGTATTCCATTGGATTGGGACGAGGGAAGAATAAGGTGAAGTTCTTTCTCTAATCTTTCTGCACCGAGAAAATATACAGTTAAAAGATCAAGATAGCACCGCCATCGCTTTATGCATCATATGTATTTACATAAGGGTACTGATTCATACCTACTAGCCCTGGTAAACAAGCAGTGCCCCCAGCTAAAACAATGGTCTTGAACCAAGTCTCATCAGGGGTTAATCCTGCAGCATGGCAATGGTCAACGCAAAGTGCCACTGCTTGATGCAAACCCATTGCACTCCTGTACCCAAGAAAATGAGCAAAAGTACTCGAAATGTCATAATCCAAGCAGATTGAAGGCAAGGCTATGTTCGGCGAACTAGCTGATAAGCTAATAAGTTAGCTGTTAGCTGAAAAGCTAGCTAATAAACTAATCATGTTTGGTAAAAACTAGATGACAATGTAAAGTAACCTAAAAGAACATGCTAAAAAAGTAACTGAAAAAGATAAAGGGTATACAAGATTTTTTTTTGGAACAAACCCCTTGGAGCTTATTGGAATACTTAAAGAAGATAGCTTATGGCTAACCAAATGGGCTTTTTCAATATGCTCAAAAAATAAGCTAGCTTATGGTTTTCAAACATGCCATATATGCGTAATACTCAAAAGTACCTCAAAATGTCTTATTAAAAGCATATTGGAGGCAAGCTTATGTTCAGCGAACTGGCTGATAAGCTAGTTGTTGACTAATAAGTTAGCTTTTAGCTGAAAAACAACCTAGTAAACTAGTCATGTTTGGTAAAAACTAGATTACTATGTAAAATGATCTAAAAGACAACGTTCAAAAAACTAACTGGAAAAAATGAAGGGCATAAATGGATTCTTTTTGAAAAAAGCTCTTGAAGCTTATTGAAACGCTTCAACAAGCTAGCTTATGGCTAACCAAATGGGGCTTTTCAATATGCTAAAAAAGATCTACTTATTATTGTCAAACATGACCTAATTCTCGTTGATTGATATAGACAACAAAAGGCTTGAAAAACATACAGTCCTGCAATGCGTGGTTGAAATAAAATCTCTCCTGTTTGAAAGCGTTCTTGCTTAAGAGTAAACCAACCCTCAACAGGAACTTCATACGACCCTTCTGTATCCTTGCGTAATTCAGCTTCATAGTCAATAGCAACATAACAAAGGTTCTGCATGTCCAAATAATCTATATGGTAAATAACACTACATCTGTTAAAGAAAGTATCCAATTCAGCAAGAAACTTCCTTTTTTTGTATATAAAGCTGTCGGCAACATGAATAAGGGGCTGTTTGGTTGGTTTTTCATTAAGTCTGGTATGAATAAAACTGTCTTGTGGATTAATCTGTCTATATAGATCGGGAAGGTTTATGTTTGAGAGGGGTTTTTCATAGATGGAAGAAGTGTGTTTTTTAATTGATAGGGCAAGATTGGAAAAAACTGGGAATATGTATAGAACCCTCCCTAGAAGCTTATTGAATAAGCAACTTTCTATATCATTAAGCCATACAAAACGGTCATGTATAGCTGACCGAATAAGTTGCGAGTCTCATTAAGCTCATAAAGCTGCTGACAAACAGACCCTAATACCTCTTTCAATGTGCGGACTGTGTATAACGAAGAAAAACGTAGATTTCTCTGTTGCATTTGCTCCCTAAGGTAACCAGTAAGCTTTAACGCTCCAACTCCCACAGCTTCCACGCCCACATTGTGCATTATCTTACCATGTAAAACTGCAAATATAAAACCAGAAGTTATATAACAAAAGGGCTGAAACTGAGTTCAAACTGACATGAGAATTTTATTTTCATTTGATCGAACATAAACGTGTTACATGGTTCTGTTTATTAACACCGATGGTAGGATGATGAAAAGGGCAAGAAATGGCATACTTGGTACAACAGATGTTTGGTTAAAACCAATATTGACAACAATTCCTGAAGTTCTCCGTGCTGCAAACAAAGCTAAAGTTGCCTGCACATCATGCAACAACAATATTAGGGAAATAGGAGGCAAAAAGATATACTTATATTTATTTAAATATTAGTTATTACCATTTCTTTTTCAGTCATTTTTAATCTATTTCTATGCATATTTTCTTGTTGTGGAAAAGGAAGCAGGCTTTTGAGAATAAATAAATAAATATATATATATATATATATATATATATATATATGTGTGTGTGCGCGCGCGCGCAAATAAATTAACACTTCCTCATTATTGTAGCAGAAGATCTTTACTGATTGGAATGGTAGAAACCATAAAACCAAGTTGACCCAACATTGTTCAGCATTTAATCGATATTTGGATCCTTTAATCGATCTTGGTGGTTGGTGGATAGTACAGAGCACATCTGAGTGTTGTGTTTTGAAATCACAGAAAGAACAAAAAATGAGTGCTCAGTCGGACCTGGCTGACTGCACAGACAGAAGGAACATTCATGTCAAACAATGCCGAGTAGATGGCTTCTTTTAGTTGTCGTCTAGCTGTTTTAGCAGCTTGTGTATCTGAAACATATTCACAAATAAACGGTAAGGAGGTAAACTCTAGTATCACTACACAAACATAAAAACAAATGTCATGTGTGAGAATATGTGGAACCCAATAGATTACTCTCCAAGTAATCCCTTGAGGAGATAAGGGATGTTCAACACATATTGAGGAGAAATGGTCCAAGTCTAGCCGATATGAGACTCTAACACACCCCTGCAACGAAAGCCAGATGGACAGAAAGAGTGTCGAGAGGGGGGTAGACAGGTGAGGAGGCTAGACGAGAGAGGGCTGCCCCATAGTGTCTAGTCCCTAGAATGATAGACCTTGGCCTTGGTGCCATGTGAGAATATGTAGAGAAATTGTCCAAGTCTAGCCGATGTGAGACTCTAACATCATGAAAAAGAAACATATCATGAATTACTCAACACAAAAGAATAAAACGACGGATGAAGGTGATTGAACTGAAACCCTCAAAAAAGTGCGATTGTGCAAATTTGATTTCCTTCATAAAATCATTCTGTCCATGAAATAGAAGCTTACTGTCAGAATGGGTGATTGGAATCGAGACAACAGTTGGCTGTGTAGATGACTTCACATGCATCCTGCAAGTTAAATATCAAGAAGACCTAAGATTTTTATAAAGGGAAATGAAAAAAGTTAAAAGTTGATTAGGTCCCAAGGGTTGGGTTTACATGAGGAACCAGTCTGTTTTCGTGAGACCCATGAGACCACAAAATAACACTGAAACTTCACTGCAAAATATTGTGAAGGTAAAAAAACTTTGAACCTTCACAGCAAAAACACTGTTAAAGCCTAGGGGATGTAGTGGAATATCTCATCCACCCGAGGTTCGAGTCCAGGCGCTGCCAAAGCCCTTGTGGCTATGGAGGTTCACCTGCGATGACTCTAGGCCATTCGTGGTCGCCCGAGGGGTTAGTCGGTCCGCGTAAGCTAGCCCGGAAACCCACGGTTGCCCAAAAAAGAACTTGAAGGTTCAGTGTTATTTAGTGGTCTCACGGTTCTCACAAAAACAGTCTTGTCTCACATATCCCAAGTCTAGGTCCCAATACAGTAATGGGGTGAAAATGTAATTGGCAATGACAAGCACCTGCTATACATTGTTGCAAAGAAATGGCGAAGCCTAGAGTACATGGGAGACTCGATGTTACCAAATTCCTACACATAAAGTCTATCATTTAGAACAGTCAAATAATTGAAGTAAATTCCTGTACCATGTAAACGAACAAGAAAACAGTGTGCAATGGTAAGAACCCAAAGCCACCAAATCAAGAGTTATTGCAACATCACTAAAGAAGTCACTACCAAAAATGTTGCTGCCCACCCAGATGGAGAATCGTATTTGCTCCAACCAAATTTGCAATAGCCAGAACCACCTTTAATAAGGATAAGAATTAAGAACTGAATAGTTTAGAATGAACATCAAGGCAATAGCAACAATCACCAAAACAAACAAACAAACACGGTATATCCCAACTGGAGGTAGGTCCCAGGGTGAAAAAAAATACGCTCATGTTGTTTCCGTGAAGAAACAGACATGATCTCCACCTCAAAGAGTTGAGCGGCTGATTCCGTGAAGACCCCAACTTGTGTAAAGTGTGCGAAAAGAAAGGATAAAATTTGCTCGTGAAAATGTGACCATTATTGTAGACGCATTTGAAGCATATATATCTTCTAGGTTAAATTAGCGTTGAACCTCATAAGCTCCATTCAGTTGGACCATTCCATCATTTTCACTTTTGAGTCCCATTACGTGAATGTGGGTCCGGTTTTACTTTAGATGAAAGAAAACACCAACATGAAGATGAGATAATAATACATAGGAAAATGATCAAAACAGATTGACCACCACTAAGGGGCTGTTTGGTTGTTTTTCCATTAAGTCTTCTATGGATACAGTTTTCTGTGTGGATTAATACGTCTATATAAATTGGGAAGATTTATGTTTGGGAGACTTTCTTCAAAGATGAAATGTGTGTGGTATTTAGTTGGGAGGAGCAAGTTCGGAAAAGAATTGGATTTTATGTATAAAGCTCCCCCCTAAAAGCTTATTGAATGAGCCACTTTCTATATCATTAAACCATCACCAAACAATCATATATAGTTGACCAAATAAGCTGCGAGCCTCGTTAAGCTCATTAAGTTGCTAACAAACAGGCCCTAAGAAATGTAGAACTATACCAGTTCCAAAAATATAGCAACAGTAATACCACCACACAAAATGAGAGCAGAATTTAGCATAAACGCAAGAGAAATATGTTCATGCTTTATCGTGACAGTATTTCGTATGACAACATAAGTACACACCGTCAATGATAATGGCTCCAGGAACCTGTGCTCGTTGACCATAAATATGCATAAATGATTGCATCCGAGAAGGATATGTTCTGCAATCACAAATCAAGCATGTAAAGTTCATAGGTTATAACGAAAACATAGTACAACTGTACCAAGCAGCACAAATCCAATCCTAAATTATCCTACCTGTTTTAAAGAACTGATAAGAAACTTGTCAATTTGTACATAAACCTATTATAGCTGCTGGAAAATGTGTACATATTCTATAAGTTCCTTCTAAATTCGAAAGCGCAGCTTATTTTAGACCAAGGGAATATAATATTTGTTTAATTACAAAGCATAGAAAATGGCAATTTTCAGCAGCCACATTTTTGATATCGACAGAACCCTAATCCTAATGAAGAGAAACCTAAATGAATTTTCGTATGAATAATTCTTAAATCGTAGTATCTAAAACATTCAAAATGCATAATCCTCGTGCGCTGATTTAAAAATTCATAAAAAAACATAGAAAAACGTACCGAAGAGGATAACCAGACCGCAAATTGGTTTCAGCGAAGAACATCGAGTCCCATGGACCTTGCTGGTTCTGAAGGTAAGATATCCAAAACATATTATCAGAAACAATTAATTTCCATGATTTACAGATTACAGTGAGCTTAGCAGCCTCTTTAGGTCCAAGTAATTTGAGGATTTGCATAAATATATCCAAGGGGATTCGATCGAACTCTCCAGTGGACGACGAACAGACGATAATCTGATCTGATAAGGATACATGACTTGAAACCGAGTAATTGGAGGTCGACGAAGAGGTGGAACTACTGGAATTCAATGGATTTGCAGACTCCAAAATCTTCTTGAACAAAAACGCCATTGTTGAATCTGGTGGTGGAATTTGGGTTGATATGGTGTCGGAGGGAAAGTCGTGGCGGGCGCTGATGGTTCTCTTTCGGAGGCGTTTTAAGTTTTAACTACAAAATTTTTGGACGAAAATTGGGAAGAAAAAGAAAATTTATACGCAATTTTCATTAATTATTATTATTATTTTTATATTTAACGACACATTTTCAAAATTTATATATTTGATAAAAACTTTTAAAAACCATTTTTTATATATGAAGTATTGTTTATTGATATATATTACTTAAAATTCAAAATTATAAGTAAATTATACATAAATACAAGTTATTAAGTTTTATATTTGAATTCGTGTAACTAATGATGGATAAATATAATTAAATACATGATAAAATTCTCATTTAAAATATAATAAAGATAATTATTGAATTCTAACGGAATATTTAGTTATTATATTTATAAAAATTAGATTATTAACCCAAAAATAAATTATTTCGTCGTTAAACCTAAATTAAATTATAATAAAAAAATGAATTAAATAAATTACATAAAAAATAATAATTGTTATGTGTTTTTTTTTTTATGGTGTTTTCAAATTTATATTTGAAAAAAGAAACATTATTGTTTGCTCAAAACTACATAAATTCATATTATAATATCGACATAGACAAAAAAAAAATAAAACTAAACATAAAATCGAGATATATCTCGTTGCATTGTGCGGATAGCTTTCTAGTATTCTCTAAAATAGAAAATCTTTAACAGATTCTTTAAAATAGAGAAAAATCAATTTTTTTTGTTCTCTGTAAGAATATTTTCAACAGATTCTTTATAATTTCTCTAGAATAGAGAATCAAAAGTCAAAATATCTAAATGAATTACAGTCAACTTTAACAGATAAATAGAGATTCTGGTAGATAATTATCTAAATATTATATGGTCCCAATACACTTTTTATATTTTTCTATATAAAATGAAATTAATTCAATTTCAACGCTCGCTGGTGAAATGAATAAAAAACTCATTTATCCCTTTTTTATTTAAAGTTTTAGAGAATTCTCTACATTAAGCATGTGTTTAGTTAGAGGTATTAAGCAGTAATAAATAAAAATAAAAGAAGCTGTTTATTTTTATATAATATAATGAACTCATTCCTCCAGTAGGTCAATTTTTTATTTCAGGTTGAACCGAATGAATGGAAATTCATTCCCATTTTCATTCTCTGTCATTTTCATTTTTATTTCTCTGTCTGAACCAAACAGGAGAGAGAAAAATGAGTTTTTTTTTATTCATTCAACTAATAATTTCATTTTATTTAATTTTTTTTTATATATTGGGATCATAAAATTATAAAATATTTAAATAATATAATTAATGACGAAATCTCTAAAATAGAGAATCTGGTAGAGTTGAATGTAACTCTTATTATAAATTTTAACTTTTGATTCTACAGTATTTAAAAATTATAAATGAACTGTTAGAAATGCTCTTATAGTACATTCAATAAATTCTTTAAAACATATAAGATGTTTATCTCGTATTTGATTATATTTATCTATAGTTAGTTACATAAATTAAAAAATATAACTTTAATAAATTGTATTTATGCACAATTTACTTGTAATCTTTAATTTTAAAGTAATATGCATCGATAAACAATACTTAACATGCATCAATAAACATTATTAATATCAATAAACATTAATTACTAATAAATATTTATCAATATTAATTAACTATATCTTATAAATTAACAGTATTCAGTAATTATTTACGATAATTATTAACCATATCAATCATTTTCATATTATTATTCAATATGTTTAGTTTTCTAAATGTAATTTTAACAATTTTTATATATTATAAAAAATAGATTTATACTTATTTTGTATTATATACAAAAAAATGTATTGAATAATTTGAATAATATATTCAATTTAATTATATTTTTTTTAAATCACTAATTAATTAGTATATATGAGGTAGACCGTTTTAATTTTATTCATATTATATGTAATGGTAATTTAAAATAATAAATAATTAATTTTCCTAAATTTGTTTTAACAAATCCAAATAATTGTTTGCTAATTGTTTACAATGAAACTTTTTTTTGTCAAACAAGATTCATCTCTTAACGATTCAGATGTTGTCTCTTAATGAAACTATTAAGAGGTAAACAAACAACCCCTAAGTGTCCTATGTGTTAGTCATGAAGTTTCTTTCACACATTATACTGAACTTCTTTTGGATTTTCTTTATTGTACACGTGTTTAAAGCATGTATACGGACATATCAGATATAAAAACATAGGAAAATTCCAAACAGAACCCATCACCATCGCCCTTCGTTCTACATCTATTTCATTTGGTACCTCTCTTTGTACCACCACATACAACCTCAGCCTTTTCCTCTTATATGATGAAAGACCCGATTTCACCTCTAAACCCTCTTGTAAAACACCAGAGTTACAAGACCACTGTTGTATTCCCACCACACCTCTATCAACTACTGGTCCGTGACTAAGGGTTCACTGGAAACATCTTCCACGTCATCATGATCACTTCCAAGCATAACATTGAAGATATTGTTAATAGATACATTCAGGGCAGAAACCTGCTTTTAAGCACCCGAGGGAAAAGACCCCAATAAAAAATCAAAGCTTTGTTGACTAGCTTAAATTTTCTATTTTCATCCTCATCTTAACGGTTTCCCCCCAATCCCATATAAACATCTTCTATCGTTTGGTGAAGTTTGAAACCCTAACCTATTCATGATCCAATTGTCCTGATACTGCTACGCCAACGGTTTGTTGGTAACTATCCTCTTTATCCCCTGAGCACTTTTGCCTTCGTTCCTCCCCCACGACCATCACACCTCCATCGTGTGTTTATGTTCAATGTCGAATCTTTTTGGATGTAATCGAATGAGAGAAGTGTCAGCCAACATAACGTTCCAAAGAAAAACAATGAAGATTTGTTGAATGAAACAAAATGTTATTCATTTGTATAAATACTGAACGAAGAAACAAAGATTTAATTCAGAGTTTTGATAATTTATTAGGGTCTTTAGACTTTTTCTTTTTTTACATTATAATGGTACTCGCGCAATGCAACGAGATACATCTTGATTTTAGTATTTCGTTTTATTTTTTGTCTCTGTCGATATAATACAGTTTTATGTTGTTTGGAAAAAACAACAATGTTTTTATTTTTGAATAAAATATAAATTTGAAGATATCATAAAAATTATAAGTATCAATTTAACTATTTAAAAGTTATTGTTTTTGTGTAATTTCTTTAATTCAGTTTTTTATTGTAATTTAATTTAGGTTTAATAACGAAATAATTTATTTTTGGTTTAATAATATCTATACTATATTATAAAGCATTTGGTTAAAACTCTTAAAACTCTTAAAAACTCTTAAATCCGTTCATCCCTAAACAATTTCATCCCTATCCGATTTCATCCCATAATTGAATTCGTGTAACTAACTGCAGATAAACACAATCAAATACAGGAT